GATTATCTCTTTCTTTCTTTTCAAATACATATTTTAAATACACATAGGATCTGGTATATTAGTGGATGTTATGGGCACGAAAAATGACAAACATTTTAACACAATATTTATGCCCATAACTCCCAAAGTTATTAGTTCACCATTTAAGAGATATTCCCTGCATAAATGCCAGTTTTAAGCACTGAAAAGGTTATTTAATAAATCAGTTTAACCAGTTAAGAGTCAGGAGGCAGATTGATGGGTATGGAAAGGGCTGGGGGGAGGGACATGTTAATATGGTTATTGTGTAAGCAGTTTTGTAGAGGTTTTGGAAGTTGGTTTTTGGAGTGCTTCGGGGAAAGACATTTAGCTGACATGGCACAGATGCCTTCACTGGTCCTTGCAGGCTATTTAATTTTCAGGCTGCAAGTGTGTCCTATATTTTGTATCCTAGGACATGAAGTTTGATCTATCCAGATCAGCAAAAACGTCAAGCAAGGCGGCCGGTCAGGCGAGGACGGCCGCAAAACAGGGGCCACGAATGAAGAAAGTGCCCCGCACAGGGGCGGCCGGCAGGAAGGCGGGAGCATCGGCGGCCAGGACAGAGGGCGGCCACATGGCCGGGAGGCACAGCACCGCCGGTCCGGGTGAGTCGAGCTTCAGGGGGGCCACTGTTAGTCAGAGGGGTGATAGTGCTGCTGGGTCCTCAGCACAGGCGGTCCCCCAGATCAGGGCCAGATTAACGTAGGGGCTGATGGAGCTGCAGCTCCAGGCCCAGGCCCAGGCCCATGGAATAGGCCCATTGATTTATATTAAAAAAAAAATATATATTATTATTTTATTTATTTTTAAACACATTTTTTTTCCACACACTACTCTTAGGGATTCCACCTGGCTTTTATTTTATTGGCATAGCCAGTATTTGAGGCTGCCTGGCTGGTGCCAATATTACAGTGATACTGGCAATACAAATGCTGGTATTTTTCTCAGTATAAACAAGAGATTACTATGCAATACCAGCACTGGCCAGTAGGGGTCACTGTGTATGGAGAGAGGCAGGGATAGGAAGTTCCAGCATATCCCTCCCTGCCTATCTATACTCACTGATCTGCAGGGGTGCAGCTACAGAGAGTCCAGACAGTAACTCCCACCCTGCAGAGACAGCCTACAGCTCAGGGAAGTTTGGCATGGGGGGAAAGGCTGCAATGAGACATGGGGACACTGAGACACTAAGGGACATTGGGAGACATTATGACACAGTCACATGGGGACACAGTGTCCCCATGTCTCCCAGTGTCCCCATGTCTCCCAGCCATTGTCCCTGGTGTCTCAGTGCCCCCTAGTCTCCCAGTGCCCCCAGTCTGCCAGTGTCTCACTGTCCCCATGTCTCCTAGTGCCTCCATGTCTCCCAGCCAGTGTCTCTAGTGTCAGTGTCCCTGGTGTCTGTGTCCCCATGTCTTCAAGTGTTCCCTATTTTCCCAGTGTCCCCATGCGTCCCAGCCAGAGTCCCCTAGTCTCCCAGTGTCACTGGTGTCTCCGGGTCCCTAGGTCTCCCCGTGTCCCCAGGTCTTCCTAGTGACATGGGGACACTGGGATACATGGGGACACAGGGAGACATGGGGCATTGAGACACTGTGATACATAGGATCACTGGGAGACCTGGGGACACGACACTAGGGGACACTGGGAGACATGGGGCACTAAGACACTGATACATAGGAACACTGAGACCTGGAGTAATCGACACATGGGGGCACTGGGAGGAATCCATCTATACAGCAGAATCAAACTAAGTAGTTTTTTGGTGATTTTACAGCACTTTCTCTTATGTCACTCCTTGTGATTTACATCATGTGATGTCACCCATACATATTTAATTATGCAAATTAGCAAGGCCGGTATGTTTTTCCAAGAAAGGTGGCAACCCTAACTACTTTTCACATACTCTTACTTAAGTATGGAAACTTAAGAGGGATTATTGGGAACAAAACTTGTGTGGACTGGCTGACAATGGATATAGTTAAAGGGACACTAGAGTCACCAGAACAACTACAGCTTATTGAATTTGTTCTGGTGAGTAGAATCATTACCATCAGGCTTTTTGCTGTAAACACTGTCTTTTCAGAGAAAATGCAGTCTTTACATTACAGCCTAGTGATAACTTCACTGGCCACTCCTTAGATGTCTGTTAGAGAACCTTCCTGGGTCATGGCTGCCTAAAATGCATCCAAACATTCAGTGTCTCCTCCCTCTTCATGCAGACACTGAACTTTCCTCATAGAGATTCATTGATTCAATTCATCTCTATGACCCTATAGTGATCCTTTAAGGTAATGCTGACTTTGGTCTCTCTAACACTGTGGCATGTTCCCTTTCTTCTACACTCACTACATACAGCTTTTCTCTGTCCCCGACTATATACCAGGAGCTTCTTCCTGCTAGTAAGAAGGTAAGGAGACAAGTGGACCAGCGAGTGCTAGGGGACAGTCCTTAGAAAGCGCTGAGCGAGCGGATCATTAGATGCATTTATGCCAAGCTCAGGGTGCTATCTGCATAGTATGCCCTTAGTTGGCCAGCTGCATGATTGGCAGGCAGCCTGACATGCATTCATACCAGGCTGGCCTTCTAATTCTTTGGGCAGACATGTCCTCTTTTTGGGCATGTTCGCCCCTTTTGGCAGGTTACGTGATTTGTGTCAGTGGCACACCCTTTTACCGTGCCCATTGACTTCCTGCTTGACTGGACACTGCTGTTAGAAGTTAAGGATTTATTTGAAAGATGAAAACATAAATTAGTGAGAGATTAGCCTAGGGTATGTGTTTTCTTATAGCTGCTGTTTTCTTTCTCTCCAGCACCATCTCCATCAGATACATGACGCTTGGGAGTGTTTTACAGTTTTTGGTCGATATGATTCTGTAATTAGGCCCGTCATAATTGTCAGCTCCAGGCCCACTGGGCTCTTAATCTGGCCCTGCCCCAGATGGCTGGGGGTGACCAGGACAGCGGGAGGTCACAAGGGGCGGCCAAGAGTGGGGCCAGGGACAGCTGCAGCGATGGAATGAGGGTGGAGGAGCACAGCAGGGTCAGCCAGGGCTGATAAGGAGCGACAGGAGGCGTGGAATGCTTGAGTGACCAGGCAGCAGAGGTCAGCGCGGGGCAAAGCAGGGCGGCTACTGGAAAGCCAGGCATAGAGGTCAGCGGGGAGTTACAGGGGCCACCACGGGCCGGGGGTTTCAGAGATGCGCGGGAGGGCCCGTCGGGCAGCTCCCAGGGTCAGCAAGCCAGCGGTATCGGTCCATGGAGAGAACGGAGGGAAGAGCGGCACAGGGCTAGCGACAGGCGCAGCGGTGACAGGAGCATGGCAGGGAGACTGGGGAGCCGTTCACACTACAGGCGCAGCGAGTCTAGATCCAGTTGCAGAGAGGAGAGGAGGAGGTCCAGGTCCGAAGAAAGTGAGAGGTATAGTCGGCGCAGCGCATCAGGTTCCTCTGAACGGAGTTGCCAGGAGCGGCGGAGCAGACCAGACAGCAGGGGCAATCGGACGGCAGAGAGGAGAGGAGTGCGGGGAGAAAGTGAAGAGCGTAGGAAGGAAGGGCGGGCAGGGGGCTTATCCGGCAGACTGCCCAGGTCATCTTCTCCTTACAAGTCGCGGAGTAATACACCGGCGGTCCCGCGGCGGGATCAGGCAGGCAGGAGTCGGCGGCGTCTGGATGCTCCGGGGCCTAGCAAGGCGGATGGAAGGACGGCAACCCCACGGCCTGAAGTGGCCGGGGGCAACAGCAGTGAGTCCACAACTGCACTACATTCAGGAACCTTCATAGGCTGTTTGAAATCGTTTTTGGAATCTTGGTCAGGGATGGAGGACCCACTTCAGTTCGGTAGGATATGGGCATGAGGAGGTGACAAGGGGGCAGAAGCCGGGAGAGTGGAGCCGTTCGCACGGAGAACTAGTGGCGGGGAGTCGGGAAGCGCTTCTACATCGTTGGAGATGCCAGAGAGGGTAGGGGAGAAAACCGTGGGGCACGGTGACATCTCAGAGGCAGCGTGACAAAATGTGCACGTATCTTTCACGGGCCCCTTGGGTTGTCACTTGAAGGTTGAGGTAAAGGAGAAACTCTGGAAAGAGGAATTTGTGGAAATATTTTCACTTCTTCCCTTGGAGGAATTTCTGGATTTGAAGGAAGAGGATAAGAGGATAAGAAAGATGCTAAAAAAGAGGAGAAAGAGGAGGAGGAGAAGAGGCGGAGGTATCGTAAGATACCAAAGTCCTTCGGGAACTGGCTTAGGACGTTTTGCATACTGGCGAGCGTTATTGGTGAAAAGCGCCCATACTACTGTTCGCAGCTTTTCTGCTACCTCGACGGTATAGGGGATGCGTATCGGACGTATGGGGGACTAGCCTGGTGGAAGTATGACGAACAGTTTCGTCAGCGACTGGGGGCGAATCCATCCATGCACTGGGACCAAATGGACCTGCCGCTATGGATGCGGATAATGATGGCACAGAAAAACACGCCCTTTCCAGGGGCAGCCGGCGCGGCCTCCGGAGGCGCAGTGTCGGCTGGACAGAAGAAAGTTTTTTTTATAACGAGAGAAAATGCAAGTGGGGAGCTGCGTGTAGATTCAGGCACGAGTGTTCAGGTTGCGGGGAGAATCATGGTGCCAACAGATGCTTCAAGAAGGGTAAGCCTAACATGGGGTTGTCGCCGGTGAGGGTTGGCGCCATGGCTAAGGCAATACGCTGATCAAGACGCTGCCGAGTTTTTATGGAGGGGTGTCAGGGAAGGCTTTAGGATCCCCTTTAAAGCAAAGGGGCCAGGGGGGATAAGTTTGAATCTCAAGTCGGTTAAGGAGCATCCAGGGGTGGTGAGGGAGAAGTTGACTAAGGAAGTCCAATTGGGCAGGGCTGTTTTTGGCCCCGTCTGTGTCGGATTTACGGTTGTCTCCACTGGGGGTGGTCCCCAAGAAGGAGGAGGGCAAATTCCGTTTGATTCATCATTTGTCACACCCGAGAGGGGCTTCGGTGAATGGTGACTAGCTCTACGCCCGGCAGGTAGCGGTTGTTTTTTCTTGCACGAGGATGGTATGGCACTGTCACGTTTTCAGTTCACAAGGGTTTTCCGGCTGGGATTACAGAGGCTGGGCTTGGAGCCCATGCAGTTTGTTACTCATTCGTTCCGTATTGGGGCAGCAACAGAGGCAGCGAGGTTGGGTTTGGGAGACGAGAGGATCAAACGGAGATGAGAGGATCATTTCAGGTTGGTTTGAAATGGGGAAGTTGTGGTTGGGGAGGTGAGAGTAAATTCAGCATCATGGCACTAACATTTGTTTCGTTACAGGTTGGAAAGTATGGTTAATCCGCCACTCGTTTGTATATTGGGCACGGAAGAGAGCCGCAGTTAGAAGAAACGGAACACAGCTGGGCTTTCCACAAGACCGGGTGGCGATATCATGGTTTGGTTTTCGGGGGTTTAGTTGGCAGTGTTTAAGTAACGTGCTGTTTAGAAAAGTGTCAGGGGGGTCCGTGCTGGATGTAGTAGTGGTTCACGGTGGCGGGAATGAATTAGGGCTTATCCCACAAAGAGAATTGGTAAGGAGGATGAAAAGGGACATGGATCGGCTCATGGGGCTGGTTCCTGGCATGGTGGTGGTATGGTCCGAAATGGCGCCCCGTTTTACGTGGCAGCATGCCAGGGATCCAGTTGCAGTGGCCCGATGCAGGAGTAAAGTGAATAGGGCCATGGCGGTCTTTATTAGGCGTTTGGGCGGTGTCGTAGTGCGACACCGGGAGTTAGAGGGCATGTTGCCTGGTTACTTTAGGAGGGATGGTGTACACCTGTCGGATGTAGGGAGCAATTTACTTAATTTGGGTTTTCAGGAAGGCATTAGTCAGGCCGTTTGTGTGTGATGGGGGTCGCACATGTCCTTAAGGCATCAAGTCATGTGCTATGGCGGAACAGGGCGTGGTAAAGTTGGAAGTTGGATGGAATTGGAATTGGAAATGGACTGGCCAAGGCCTAGGCTGGAGTAGGCCAGATGGAAGTGAGCTATGAACCTAGGTGGGTAGGGGTGTCTGGGTACACCCCTACAGTTAACAGTTTGGTTATGGGGCCTCTTTGGTGGGCCGGGTGTTATAAGTAAATGTTACTGGAAGGTTAACTATTGTTCAAAGTGGTAGGGTCATTGTCATGGGTATTGTACGGGGGGATAGTAACAGAATGTCAGTGATGACAATGACCCTAATATGTTAATTTATATATATTTAATAAGAATTAATAAAGCTGTGGACTTTATACTCCAACAGGATAAAACGGTGTCCGAGTCTTATTTAATTCATATTTAAAATAGCACCTGCCGAATAACGACGGTGCCTATATCATGAACTTGATGCATATAAAACTAGGTAAATCTGGTGGTGTAACATAAAAGAAAAGAGATTAAATGTTTGATAAAATAAAAGTATTGGTCGTTTAACCCTAATCTAGTCAAGTGTTAGCGTGAGCTTACTATAGGTAGACATAACGCTTAGTTAGTAGATAATATAACAAAACACTGATGGTAAATCAGACAGAATATTAAACATCTCACTGGCATCAAAAAATCATTGGTTAAGAAGGCATAGTAGTAGCAGTACATAAAAATAAAAGTAAATAGGCATAAAGAAAGCACTTTGGCACCGAAAAAGGAACTTTCCAAATCCCCTCCAAGAGGCAATCAGAGACCCCAGAGACCGCTTACTCTATGGAGCGTGCTGTCTTCCCCTCCTTAAATCCATGGCTTCCTGAAAGAACAGGCGAGCGCCGACCGGTCTCCAGGCCCTGGTACAGGCAGTGGCACCATGCACTCCCGTCACAGCATGCCTGGTGTTCCTAGTTGTCTTGGGTGTTGAAATGTGTTGATTAGGGTGGCCTGATTGCCATCGCTTCAAAACATTCAAAGTGTCGAGAGAAGCGACGTGCCCACACCCTGAAGAAAGCCGGCCTCACTCATTCAGCGCCATCTTGTGTCGCAGTTGCCGTCGTTGGGGACTCTGTAACCCTCTGGATCCCCAGACTCCATTTACGGAGCTGCAGTGGAACAGGATGTCGTTGCACAGTTGGAGTAGGTGCAAAGGGGATAGCCAGCTGCAGCCAAAAGGATTGGCACAAGCGGTCAAA